GGAGCAAGGATCGAGGATCGAGAACCCAGTATCCAGCATCGATCATCGAGGGGCGAGGAGCGAGGATCTAGGAGGAGGTGCAGCGCAAGCGCTGCCCAGCCTGGCGCAGCCGAGGCCACCGCCTGGCCTGGCCGCGGGCGGCGAAAGGGCTCCGCGCGCATCGCAGGGCGCTGCTCGGCCGCGTGCCGGCGCCGGGCCCGCAGCGTCGACGCTGGGGCGGGAGGCGCCGACGACGACGACGCCGACGACGACGCTGATGCCGACGCCGACGCCGACGCCGACGACGACGGTGACGCCGAGGACGACGCCGACGCCGACGCCGACGACGACGCCGACGCCGCCGCTGCCGTCGACGACGACGACGACGACCTCGCTGGCCGGTGGGTCCTCTTGGCGGCCGCTCCACGGGGACATGCTCTGAGGTCCTCGCCGTTCGCCTTTGCTCGTCAACTCGGGGGAGGAAGAGGTACCGATGCCGCTGCCCGTCCCGTGCTTCGTGTTTTCGCATGTGTGGTCATCGTGGATGGCCTTCCTCGTCACGGCTGGATTCGCCTGGACATTCTGGTCAGAGCGCACCTCGGGTGAGGTCCCGGCGGCCCCCTCTCCCCAGCCCTCGGCCCCTGGGGTATGGGTTCTGACATCCTCGCATTGTGGAAAAAGCACGACGGAAGGTTCTCGGCAAGTTTCGGCCTCGGGGGTCTTCGTTCGGCCCCGGGGGTCCTCTGCCTGGCTCCAGGGCCGTTCAAGAATGATTCGGGGCGCCAAACAGGCCCCTGGGAAGGGTGCCAAACCCGTGGGGGACCACGCTGTGAAGAAATCGCGGCATCGGATGTCTGGGTCGCCGCACGCCTTTGCTCCACAAGTCAGATTCGGATGAGGTATCTATACCGCTATTTAGACCTGCCTTTAATGTTTTTTGGGGTCTTATGCTCGCCTTGTTGGTCCTCCTGGGAGGCCCTCGTCGCAACGGCCACGGTCCACTTCCATCTGGTCGATCCGAATCGATACCGATGTTGGCTGGCCCGATCCGACTCGATACCGATTTTTCTTCCATGCGATTCGGCCCGACGCTTGCATGGCGCTAATGTGCAGTCTGGCGCGGCCGATCTGATTCGATTTCGACTCCGTGCCGATGCGACCTCTGATGCGACACCCAGTCCCATTCGACCCGATCTCTCGATTCGACATCGACTGGCCCTGCCACGGCCGGACTCGCCTCGAAATCCTGGTCAGCAAGGGTCCCGGGAGAGGTCCGGGGAGCATGGGCATCGCTACTCTGTTGTCCGCCCCAGCGTTTGCGGCCGGGGCTGTGTGTCGGCAGGTCGGCCCTGGAGCATCAGCGGTGCCCTCGATTCCTGTCTGTTTCCAGCGGTGGTCACCGGGGTCGTCTGGGGATCGCTCTTCCGCCGCCCCTCCCCCCCCGCCTTCTTTGTCTTCCTCACCTCCTCCTTCATTCCATCTCCTCCTGTCCTCCCTTCGCATCTCCTCCTGCTTCTCCCTCTTCCTCCCTCCTCGTCCTCCTCGGAGCTATTTTCGTGTGCACTTCGTGTCTGGAGCACGGGTTGCCTTCGACAGGGGTTTGTGTTCTTCCAGGCGTTTTTTGCGATCAGCTCCGATTCAACACACTACCGTGTTTGGCCAGGATCCTCTTGAGCCCCAGGATGGTCTTTATATCCTCATAGGGGGCATAAATACCATGCCAAGGCCCAGGATGACCGTGGCTAGGCGTGGTCATGGTGGTGGTGTAAAGATGGAAAGGAGCACGGTTTGTGCTCGCTTGAGGGGGGAGGTTTCAAACTGCCCCCCCATCCTGGACGTCCGGGGACCGGGAGGACCTCCCCCCTCCGAAAAGGGGTGGTCCAATTCCCCTTGCTTTCGAGCAAAGGGGGGTGGGTTCAACCCCCCCTTCGCAGTCGTCGTCGTTGTCGCCGTCGTCATCGTCGTTTTCGTCGTTCATTGGCGCCAGGGAGGGAACGACGACGATGACCTCCACCCCCCGTGGCGGTGGTAAACGACGACGACGACGATGACGACAACGATTATGACCCTCCTCCTGGCCTCCCCCCTTGGCGCTGGCGAATGACGACGGACGGTGACCCCCCCGGGATCCCTTCAAAAGATGACGACGAAACCATGCCCCCGGCGCTGGTCGTCGTCGTCGCTTGCCAGCGCCAGGGGTGGTGGAGGTCATCGTCGTCGTCTTTCCCTCTCTGGCGCAGCCGGACGACGACGACGCCTGCAAATGACGACGACGATGACCGGGCCCCCCTCTGGCGCCTGGCAAACGACGGCCACGACGATGACCCCCCCCCAGGCGCCGGCAAACGACGACGCCGACGCCGACGCCGACGCCGACGTCGCCGACGCCGACGTCGCCGACGCCGACGTCGCCGACGCCGACGCCGACGCCGACGCCGACGCCGACGCCGACGCCGACGCCGACGCTGACGCTGACGCCGACGACGACGACGACGCCGACCCCATGCGTTTGGCGCCGGCAAACGACGACGCTCTCCCTCCTTACCGTCTTCATAGATCCAATCGTTCCATCCAGGACCTCGTTCCCCCCCTCCTTGCATCATCATTCACCTCCTTCCTCTTCCTTCTCCGTCGTCCTCTCCACCATAACCTTTCCCCCCCTCTGTCCGCCGTTCCTCCTCATTCTGGCAGGGGCTCGAGATGGCCATCCGCGACCTGGCCATGGCCATCAAGTGCGGCCAGCACCTGCAGGCGAGAAGCAGAGGAGGAGGAGGAGGAGGAGGAGGAGGAGGAGGAGGAGGAGGAGGAGGAGGAGGAGGAGGAGGAGTAGGAGTAGGAGAAGGAGGCGGAGGAGGAGGAGGAAGAGGAGGAGGAGGAGGAGGAGGAGGAGGAGGTGGAGGAGGAGGAGGAGGAGGAGGAGGAGGGAGGAGGCGCAGGAGGAGGAGGAGGAGGACCGTGGAGGAGGAGGAGGAGGAGGAGGCGGAGGAGGTGGAGGGGGAAGAAGAAACATACTAGTAATTAACACTAGTACGAATGATAACAAATAATATTAATGATATGATCCAAATAAACTTGCATCATTGGAGTTCTAATTGAAACCCTACTAATTGATCCGTTGCCCCCCCCCTGATTCCTATGCCCCCCCCAAATTCCTATGGCTATGCCTATGCCTATCCTTCCCCCCTAACTCCTACGCCTACGCCTATGCCTATGCAGAAGCCTATGCCTATGCTCGCTTCCGCTTGCTTGCTTGCGCTTGCTTGATTGTGCTCCTCCCGTCCTCCTCCCGTTCTCCTCCCATCCTCCTCTCGTCCTCCTCCTGTGCTCGTATCTATTCGGAGTCAACGCTGGCTGATATTTACTAATAATACATAGAATACTAAGACGACGAATGCGAAGACTAATCATTCTCATACGAACATTACGAATACTAATACTGAAACGTAGCATCATATAACTAATACGAAGACTAAGACTAATGCACATAATAAGACGAATGTTAATACTATTAACAAGACAACTTATACTACTAACACAACGAAGAAGCCCATTCATCCGAATATTAATGAGACGCGTACTGATAATATAAACACCAAGAACAAGACAACGACTAATAAACATAGACATATTAATCATACTAAGCACTCTAACCACTTATCGTACTCGCAAGAAGAAGGAGAGGAATACTGAGAGGACACACGATAATAGTTCCAATCATGACAAACACGAACGGTGGAGGCGGAGGAGGAGCTGGTCAGGAGAAGGAGGAGGTGGAGGAGGAGAAGGAGGATGGGGGAGGAGGAGGAGGAGGAGGATGCAGAGGAGGATGATGAGGAGGAGGATGATGTGCATGATGATGCTGATACTGATGCTGATGTTGATGTTGATGATGATGCTAATGATTATGATGATGGTATTGATGCTGAGGATGCTGATGAGGCTGCTGATGATGATGATGCTGATGAGCGTGATGATGATGATGCTGATGCTCATGATGATGCTGCAGATGATGATGACGATGATGCTGCTGCTGATGATGATGCTGATGATAGTGATGATGATGCTGATGCTCATGATGATGCTGCAGATGATGATGACGATGATGATGCAGCTGATGATGATCAGGATAATGAGGACTATGATGATGCTGGTGATGATAATGACGATGATGCTGCTGATGATGCTGCTGATGACGATGATGATGCTGATGATTATGATGATGATAGTGCTGATGATGCTGATGCTGATGCTGATGATGATGATGATGATGATGATGATGATCATGATGATGCTGATGATGATGATGATGATGATGATGATGCTAATGCTGATGCTGATGCTGATGCTGATGCTGATGCTGCTGATGATGATGCGGATGATGATGGTGATGATGCTGCTGCTGATGATGATGATGATGATGATGCTAATGCTGATGCTGATGCTGATGCTGATGCTGCTGCTGATGATGATGATGATGATGATGCGGATGATGATGATGATGATGATGATGATGATGATGATGATGATGATGATGATGATGATGATGATGATGATGATGATGATGGTGATGGTGATGGTGATGGTGATGGTGATGATGATGATGATGATGATGATGATGATGATGATGATGATGATGATGATGATGATGATTGATGCTGATGATGCTGCTGCTGCTGATGATGATGATGATGCTGATGATGCTGCTGATGATGATGATGATGATGATGATGATGATGATGATGATGATGATGATGATGATGATGATGATGATGAGAGCAGGAGCAGGAGCAGGAGCAGGCGTTTTGGTCGACGAGCAGGGCGGCGTGAAGTTCACCCCCGGCACCCGCGCGGAGTACGCGAGCGGGCCGTGGGTCCGAGACCTTGCTGTCGACGACCTGGGGGCTCTCAAGCTCCTCCCAGAGGCGTCGCTGCCGGCCGCTGCGCCGGGCGGCCTCCCAGTCAGGGCGCCCCGCAGATACGCCGCATCTTCCTCCACCTGAATGCTCTGCGGGCGCTCAGTGTGGAGCCGCAGGGGGGGTCTGCTGTCCGCGGGGGGGCCCGGCGCCGGCGCGCTGTGGTCGCAGCACGCCGTGCGGGAGTGCGACTGGTTCCCCACTTGCTACTTCGGGGCCGCCACTATGCGCTGCCTGGGCGCACTCAGCGCTCCGCCGGGCTCCACGTGCTGGATGCCGCGCAGAGCCGGCAACGACTCCGGCGAGAACGTCTGCGGCCAGAGGCTCGACCCGACGCTGAAGCACCCCCAGCTTTGCAAGCATGGCCCCGCGCGCATGCGGCCGCACCGCGCTTTGGCCGCGGCGCTCGCGCGCCTCCTCCGGGAGTCCCGCGCGGAGGTCGATGTGGAGCGCACGGTGCCGGAGCTGGCCCGGACCTCGGAGGCAGGGGCGGTGGTTGAGGCCGTCATGGACCTCGTGGTCACGTTTCCCGGTTCCGTCCAACCGGTGTACGTGGATGTATTTATCCGCTGCCCGCGCGCGTCCCGATACCAGACCGCGGCCGCGTGCCCCGGGGAGGCCGCGGTCAAACGACGCGAAGATCGGGACAAAATCGGATCGGGATCATTCGAAATCTCTGAGAATCGGCGTGTTTGGAGGATGTATTGGGCGCCGCGGCCGCTCCAGAGCTTTCCGGAACGCTCTGAGAGCGCTCCGGAACGCTCTGGAGCGATTTATCCCGATCCTAGCCCTGTTTTACGCGGAGGCGGCGGCCATTGACGAGCGGGCCCGGTACGGCGCCGACGTCCTCACCGTTGCGTTCGAGACGTGCGGCCGGCTCGGCGTCGGCACGCACAGGGCGCTCGGGCACCTGGCCGCGCAGGCCGGCGCGTGCCTCCGGGGCCAGTGGGCCGCGCCGCGCTCGGTGCCCACCTGGAGGGCGGCGCTGGAGAGGATCGTCCTCTTTCAAGGGCAGAGAAAACGCCCCTACCCTGGTTTACGAGGCGCTGTGCGCTGAAGCTCCTGTGGGCTGACAGGGTAAGCCCTGCGTGATGTGCCGCGTCCTGGCGGCTCCAGGCTTCGGGGGTTCCCAGGAGGTTTACAGACCACGCACTTGTAGCCCAGGGTAGGGTCGTTTTTTCATCCCTCAACTCTTCGCCGCAGCCGACATTGATCTGTTGGCGCTGGGCTGCGCGCCCACTGCGGCCGATGCCCGGGCCGCCTGGGGCCGCGTGTCTGGCGGCGGCGGCGGCGCAGGTACTGGAGGGTGAGCGCGCAGAGCGAGTGGGAGGGCATGTTCTTATTCTTATTTTCTGATGGATCGTGTTTCGCGCTTCGGTTTTGCTTAGCAGGAGCAGGAGCAGGAGGAGGAGGAGGAGGAGGAGGAGGAGGAGGAAGAGGAGTAATAATAATAAGAAGAATAATAATAAAAATAATAAGTATACTAATAAGAAGAAGCTGGTAATACTACTAATATTAATTAGAAGAGGAAAATAATAATGATAAACATAAGAGGAATACTAGTACGAATAAGGGGAACAATACTAATAATACAAATATGTATAATAAGACTAAGAATAATATAAACATACCGAGAATAATAATTCTAACACTAATAATACGAACCATAATAATAATAAAAAAGAAAATAATACGAAAAACAAGGGGCACGCGTGCCAAGGATCATACAATGACGATGTGGGTCCATGGGAGATGGAGAAAACCAGGGATCGCGAGGGGGGCAGTCCTTGGCAGGCGCCGGGAAACGCGCCGCAATTGCTGCGACACGCTGGCAAGGGACAGATTCGAAGACGGGAAGGGGCGGCTAGAAGCATGTCAGTTTGGGTCTGGAGGAAGGTCGCTTGTCCTCTGTCTCGTCCTCCTTCCCCCCCTCCTCACCTCCACTTTCTCCTGTCCCGCCTCTCTTCCTCCTCCTGGTTCTCGACCTCCTCCTTGTCCTCCCCCTCTCTCCACCTTCTGGGGCGGTGCGGCGCGTGGCGGCGGAGTCGCCCTCGCCGTCGGCATGCGGCCGGGCACGCTGCGTCCTCGTCCTCCTCCTTCTCGTCCTCCTTCTCCCCCTCCACCTCCGCCTCCTCCCCCTCCCCCTCCGCTTCCTCCTCCGCCTCACCGTCCTCGCCTCCGACCCGAGGCTGGCCCAGGCAACTCATCCTCGCCTCGGGCCCGAGGCTCGCTCACCGAGCGCCCTCGGGCCATGGGCGTGCTAAGATCTCCGGGAACTGCTTCCGAATCTTTCTAGTTCGCGCGCGCGCGGGGGGGTCCCTGGGGGTCCCCAGACGAAAACTACTCCGAGCCAGCCCTGGGCGAATCGGGTCAGAGATGGTGTTCCTCCTGGGCGCCGCCCTCAGGGCCACCTAAGAGCATGGTCGGTCGGAATAAGGGGGCGGGGGCGCAGGGGGGGGAGCGGGGGGGGGGCACAGTCGGTCGGAATAAGGAGAGGAGTGCAGGGGGGGGCGGGGGGGGGGCGCACGGTCGTTCGGGAAGGGGAGGGGTGCGCAGGGGGGGGGCGGGGGGGGGGGGGGGGCACGGTCGGTCGGAATAAGGGGAGGGGGGCGCAGGGGGGGAGAGGGGAGGGGGGTGCCCACGGCCGGTCGGAATTAAAGGGGGGGGGGCGCAGGGGGGGAGGGGGGGGAGAGCCACGGTCGGGCGGGAATAAGGGGAAGGGGGGCAGGGGGGGAGCGGAGGAAGGGCCGCGGTCGGTCGGAATAAGGAGAGGGGGGCGCAGGGGGGGAGGGGGGGGGGGGCACGGTGGTCGGAATAAGGGGGAGGGGGGCGCAGGGGGGGAGCAGGGAGGGGGGGGGGGGGGCACGGTCGGTCGGAATAAGGGAAGTGGGGGCAGGGGGGAAGCGGGGGGGGGGGGCCACGGTCGGTCGGAATAAGGGGAGGGGGGCGCAAAGGGGGAACGGGGGGGTGGCCCCACGGTCGGTCGGAATAAGAGGAGGGGGGCGCAGGGGGGGAACGGAGGGGGTGGCCCACGGTCGGTCGGAATAAGGGGACGGGGGCGCAAGGGAGGAGCGGGGGGGGGGCCCACGGTCGGTCGGAATAAGGGGAGGGGGGCGCAGGGGAGGAGCGGGGGGGGGCCCACGGTCGGTCGGAATAAGGGGAGGGGGGCGCAGGGGAGGAGCGGGGGGGGTGGCCCACGGTCGGTCGGAATAAGGGGACGGGGGCGCAGGGGGGGAGCGGTGGGGGGGCCACGGTCGGTCAGAATAAGGGGAGAGGGGCGCAGAAGAGGAGCGGGGGGAGTGGCCCACGGTCGGGCGGAAGAAGGGGACGGGGGCGCAAGGGGGGAGCGTGGGGGGCCCACGGTCGGTCGGAATAAGCGGAGGGGGGCGCAAGGGGGGAGCGGAGGGGGTGGCCCACGGTCGGTCGGAATAAGGGGAAGGTGGCGCAGGGGAGAAGCGGGGGGGGTGGCCCACGGCCGGTCGGAATAAGGGGAGGGGGGCGCAGGGGGGGAGGGGGAGGGGCCAGCACGACCACCAGCACGACCACCAGCACCTCCACCAGAACGGCCAGCAACACGACCGCGAGCACGACCACCAGCACGACCACCAACACGACCACCAGCACCTCCAGCACGGCCAGCCACCAGCACGACCACCAGCAGAACCACCAGCACGACCACCAGCACGACCACCAGCACCTCCACCAGAACGGCCACCAACACGACCGCCAGCACGACCACCAGCACAGCACCGGCACGCCCAGCCACCAGCACGACCACCAGCACAACCACCAGCACGACCACCAGCACGATCACCAGCACGACCACCAGCACCTCCACCAGAACGGCCACCAACACGACCGCCACAGCACGACCACCAGCACGACCACCAGCACGACCACCAGCACGACCAGCCACCAGCACCTCCAGCACGGCCAGCCACCAGCACGACCAAGCACGACCACCAACACGACCACCAGCACCTCCAGCACGGCCAGCCACCAGCACGACCACCAGCACAACCACCAGCACGACCACCAGCACGACCACCAGCACGACCACCAGCACCTCCACCAGAACGGCCACCAACACGACCGCCAGTACGATCACCAGCACAACCACCAACGCGACCAGCCACCAGCACGACCACCAGCACAACCGCCAGCACGACCACCAGCACGACCACCAGCCCAGCCAACACGACCACCAGCACCTCCAGCACGGCCAGCCACCAGCACGACCACCAGCACAACCACCAGCACGACCACCAGCACGACCACCAGCACGATCACCAGCACCTCCACCAGAACGGCCACCAACACGACCGCCAGCACGATCACCAGCACAACCACCAACGCGACCAGCCACCAGCACGACCACCAGCACAACCGCCAGCACGACCACCAGCACGACCACCAGCCCAGCACGACCACCAGCACGACCACCAGCACGACCACCAGCACGACCAGCCAGCAGCACGACCACCAGCTCGACCACCAGCACTTCCCAGCACGACCACCAGCACAAGTACCAGCACGACCACCAGCACGACTGCCAGCACCTCCACCAGAACGGCCAGCAGCACGACCACCAGCACGACCACCAGCACGTCCACCAACCACGACCACCAGCACGGCCGCCAGCACAACCACCAGCACGACCGCATTATGGGCACACGGTCGGTCGAAATAAAGCAGTGCGAGATCACACCGGTAGGTATGATGATAAACAATGAAGGAGGATGAGGAGGAGGAGGAGGAGGAGGAGGAGGAGGAGGAGGAGGAGGAGGAGGAGGAGGAGGAGGAGGAGGAGGAGGAGGAAGAAGAAGAGAAGCGCAGGAGGAGAAGGATGAAGAGGCCGATCGATTTCTAGTAGTCGCGGAGCTTGGCATCCTCCAAGCGTGGCTGGAGGCGGTGTAAGGGTGACGATTGCGCTCACAGATCGGCGCGCCAGGAGGAGGATTGGGTGGAAGAACCCCCCCTCTTCCCCTCCCTCCGCCGAGGGCGGCGACCAGAAGCTCGGCCTCGGCATCGCCCCGCCCCCGGGCCTCCCGGTCGCTGACACGCCGGTTCGCACCCGCAGCAACACGGCCAGCAGCGCCGCCAGCCAGGCGCGAGGAGGAGGGGGGTGCAGTCGACCCGCGCAGCCATGAGGGTTGGAGTGCCCTCGTATTTCGGAGGGGCCTGAGTTCCCCCCTCCTTCCTGCGGTGTGTTGCCTGGGGTTCCCCGTCTGGGGAGGGGGAGGGGGAGTGGAGGAGAGACAGGAGGAGGGGGCGGGGGAGAGGGAGGAGGGACATGGATGGGGGAGGGGGAGCGGGAGCGAGTGGGGGAGGAGGACCAGGTTCGGTTCGGCCGTCCTCGAGGGCGGTAGCGACTGCCACAACCCATGCGTGCGACGGTCGGGAGGAGGAGGAGGAGGAGGAGGAGGAGGAGGAGGAGGAGGAGGAGGAGGAGGAGGAGGAGGGAGGAGGAGGATGAGGAGGAGGAGGAGGAGGAGGAGGAGGAGGAGGAGGAGGAGGAGGATCACTGACCATACAGCCAGGACTGCGAGCGGGCCGCCTTTGCACAGTCCATGGATGCAAGCAGGGATTGGCAAAGGGGGACGCCCGTCACTTGGGGAAGCCCCAATTCGCAGCGTGTTATTGCGGTTCACTAACGGTGGCGAGCCTTGGCTAGTAACCCACACGAGAGGGAAGCTATCAACGTGTCAACCAACCTTGTGGGTGCAAAAAGGGTGGTTGAGATACAGCGTCTTTTTTGGAAGTGGGGCTGGAAAAGTTGAACATGTCGGGAACAACGCCAAAGTGACAAGAGGTCTCTTCTAGAATTACGGCTGTGGGTCTCCGCCCACGCACAAGCAAACAACGCCAAAGTGATAAGAGCCCTCTTTCAAGGTTACGGCTGCTGGTTCCCCTGCCTGCGGCAGGGTCGCGGTCGACTTCGGCCGACTCCAGGAAACGGCGCCCCTCCCACCCTGGATCGCTCCGCCAACGACCGCGGCCTTGCCGCCTGCAGGTGAAGGGGTGAGAGGAGCAGCAAGCAACAGCTGGTAGGGGGTGGAGGTGGCGCTGGGTGCCCGCGCGGTCGCGTCGGGCCCAGAGCCAGCAGGTGCGTTGTTGGAGCCAGACGAGCCCACGATGTGAAAACAACGACGCGGCAGCCGGCATGTCGGTGCTCCTAGAGATGGCTGTACCCAAAGGTCACCCGCCCAATAATCACCAGACCTCACGGTTTGGCCGAAGATGCAGCTCCCTTTTGGTCGCCCCCCCCGACAGTTTATCGCATGTTGCCTGCCGGCGTCCCCCTATGATACCTACCAGGCGCAGTGCTGCCAAACGACTGCGAAGCACGAGAAACGATGACGATCTGGACCGCACTGTAGCAATGCTGTGATTACAGGAAAGTTCCGGTTCGGTTCGGTTCGGTTAGGTTCCGAAGCGCCTCCGGTTCGGTTCGATTCGGTTCGGTGTCGTAATCTTCCAGTTCGGTTCGGTTCGGTTCGGTACGTTTATTCCCAACCAACCTGTGTTGTTGGGTCCTCGTTTTGAAGAGACGGTGGCCCGCGTCTCCTCTCCTCCTCTCCTCCTCTCCTCCTCTCCTCCTCCTCCCCCTCCTCCTCCGCGCACCCATTTCGGCACACCCCTCACACGCTTCGTGGCCCCATAGGGAGCTCCGCCGAAGGTCCCAGTGGGTGTGCCCGCATGCGTCCCGCACACCCATTTCGGCACACCCCTCACACGTTTCGTGGCCCCATAGGGAGCTCCACCGAAGGTCCCAGTGGTGTGCCCGCATGCGTCCCGCACACCCATTTCGGCACACCCCTCACACGTTTCGTGGCCCCATAGGGAGCTCCACCGAAGGTCCCAGTGGGTGTGCCCGCATGCGTCCCGCACACCCATTTCGGCACACCCCTCACACGTTTCGTGGCCCCATAGGGAGCTCCACCGAAGGTCCCAGTGGGTGTGCCCGCATGCGTCCCGCACGCCCATTTCGGCACACCCCTCACACATTTCGTGGCCCCATGGGGAGCTCCACCGAAGGTCCTAGTGGGTGTGCCCGCATGCGTCCCGCACACCCATTTCGGCACACCCCTCACACGTTTCGTGGCCCCATAGGGAGCTCCACCGAAGGTCCAGTGGGTGTGCCCGCATGCGTCCCGCACACCCATTTCGGCACACCCCTCACACGTTTCGTGGCCCCATAGGGAGCTCCACCGAAGGTCCCAGTGGGTGTGCACGCATGCGTCCCGCACGCCCATTTCGGCACACCCTCACACGTTTCGTGGCCCCATAGGGAGCTCCACCGAAGGTCCCAGTGGGTGTGCCCGCATGCGTCCCGCACACCCATTTCGGCACATCCCTCACACGTTTCGTGGCTCCATAGGGAGCTCCACCGAAGGTCCCACTGGGTGTGCCCGCATGCTTCCCGCACACCCATTTCGGCACACCCTTCACACGTTTCGTGGCCCCATGGGGAGCTCCACCGAAGGTCCCAGTGGGTGTGCCCGCATGCGTCCCGCACACCCATCTCGGCACACCCCTCACACGTTTCGTGGCCCCATAGGGAGAGCTCCACCGAAGGTCCCAGTGGGTGTGCCCGCATGCGTCCCGCACACTCATTTCGGCACACCCCTCACACGTTTCGTGGCCCCATACGGAGCTCCACCGAAGGTCCGAGTGGGTGTGCCCGCATTCGTCCCGCACACCCATTTCGGCACACCCTTCACGCTTTTCGTGGCCCCATAGGGAGCTCCACCGAAGGTCCCCGTGGCGCAGCCCGCACGCGTCTCCACCAGCCAGTACACCTCCGTCGGAGGCCGTCGGGGTTCCGCGCCTCCCTCGTCCGTCGTCGCTCTGCCCAGCGGCAAGAGCCTTGCCCGCTATCAGCCAGCCAGCTAGCTCTCTTTGCTGCGCGCAGTGGACGACCCGCGCGCGTCGCTGGGACCCCTCTGGGGCGACCTGCGCGCGTCGCTGGGACTCCGCGTTGCGCTGCGCCCGCAGCTTTGGACTTTGACTGCGCGGGCAAAGAGGGAGTAAAAGAAGGGGAGGAAGCGGGCGCGATCCTCGCGGTGGCGTCGTGGCGCGCGGGCGATGCCGTCGGGGAGTCCCAGGGAAGCTCCTTGCGGCGGCCACGCCCAGCGTCACGAGTACTCAGAGGCAGTCATTCACAAACTATTAACATTCATATACAATTGCACCATGCATTGGCATACTCGCATACATGCACGTAGACTCGCTCGCACGCAGATTCATTCACAGTCAGACGCACTCGCGCTCAGCTGCACCCGCGCTCAGTCTCCCTACGTACTCAGATCAATCGTTTTCGTTCGCGTTGTGTACCACGCTATTCATTTTGGCGCAGCACTAGCACGGTTCGTTGCCCCATAGGGATCACCACGAAAAAGGGAATCACAATTGCGGTACTCACACCTGCATATGGTTGCGTCCTTCGTCTGGCTAATTTTTTGTTTCCGGTTCGGACCGGTTCCTGTTCCGGTTCGGTCCGGTTCCGGCCAGATCGCCGTCGAGGCTGCCGCTGGCTGCCGCTGGCCTCCGCCGCTCGGGGCCCCTTTGCGCCCCAAACCCCCAAAGGGGCCCCAAGGGGCCCCAAACCCGCATAGGGGCCCCAAAAGGGCCCCAAAGGGGCCCCAAACTTCGAAAGGGGCCCTGAAGGTGCCCCAAACCCGCATAGGGGCCCCAGAGGGGCCCCAAACCCCCAAAAGAAGCCCCAAAGGTGCTCCAAAGGGGCTCCAAACCCTCCAAAGGAGCCCCAGAGGGGCCCAAAGGGGCCCCAAAGGGGCCTCAAACCCGCATGGGGGCCCCAAAGGGGCCCCAAAGGGGCCCCAAACCCCAAAGGAAAGGGGGGTTTGTCGGGGTGGCTGCAGCAGACTGCTGGTGGGTCGGTTCCCGGAACCGGTTTTTCATCCTGGGCTGGTTTTTGACGTTCCCGGGGGCCGAAATAGCGAAAAACTGCCGGTTGTAATTTTTTCCACAGCGCCTGGATCTAGGGGTTGTCGTCATCGTCGTCGTCGCCGCCGGTCACCTTCCCTCCTCCTCCATCCGTGGCCAGTTTTCCGGTTCGCTCCAGTTCGGTCCAGTTCGGGCTGGTTCGGCGGGGGGAGGTTCGGCCCGGTTCGGAGTCCCGGTTCGGTTCGGTTCGGTGTCGTATTTCCGGTTCGGTTCGGTTCGGATCCCATTGACAAAAAACACCGGTTCGCGCCGGTTCGGTTTGGCCCGGTTCGGTTCGGCCGTTTCGGTTCGGTTCCGGAGCCATCCTGTGATTATGCTATTTTCCCCGGCGCGCAGAAACTGTGCCAATTGAGGTGCGGGCGGCAATTCGGGATCATTCATTGTTTCCATCCTGGAGCTCAAGGAGCCACGCGAAACATTGAATCTTGACATCATGGTGCTCATCCGCAAACAGTACACTTTTTATATACGCAGCATGTATTTTAGAAAAGGGGATTTGGGCCACAGCTAGTTACTGCCATAATTAGGTCTTTGACATTATACATACCAATGTACATGCTGCTGTACCTGGCGGGCGCCTACTCCCTCTGCAAACCCTGTCGCCGCACTTTCTTTTTTCGTGCCTTTTCCGCGACGGCCGCCAGGTACCCTTAAGCCGAATCGATTATACGTTAGCCTGCGCGCCCTCAAGAACGCCACATGCAGTCGCATTAGGTCCGCGCAATGTCAAAAAGGAGGAGGAGGATGAAGAGGAGGAGGAGGAGGAGGAGGAGGAGGAGGTGGAGGAGGAAGATGATGAGGAGGAGGAGGAGGAGGAGGAGGGGGAGGAGGAGGAGGAGAGGAGGAGGAGGAGGAGGAGGTGGAGGTGGAGGTGGAGGCGGACGTGGAGGTGGAGGCGGAGGTTGTGGAGGAGGTGGTGGAGAAAGTGGCGGAAGAGGGGGTGGAGGAGGAGGACCAGCGCTCAGACTGAAGGGGGGGGGTTGGCCGTCCTGGGCATCAATCCGCATCCCTTCCGAAGTGGCTTTAACGGCAAATGACAGGGACAGTCGGAGACAAGAGGGTTGCTCATTTGGACACGATCCAGGCTCACAGAACCCCACTCGGATTACCCATCTCGAGGTCGGTGGGGTCTGTCGCAGCT